TCCTCCAGCTGCAGCTTCAGTTTCCTAATCTGAGGGAGAAACGAGGCTCGTCAGGAAGAGCCAGTCCCCTAAAAGATGCTTGGCCCAACGGCCACATCATAGAGCATGGCTGATCCTCATGAGCCAAAATGCTCGCTCAGAACGATGTTCTTGTGTGCCCATTATGGGGGACACACTGTTAAAGGTGCTTGAGATAAGCTATGAACAAATACCAAAAGGAGTGGGCACTAGGCCCAGGTTTCTCATTAAAAATAGCTCTGTTTTATTATTTCTGTAGGTTTTTTAGACATCACTTCTCAGTATTTTTTGTTCCTTTTATTAAAAATGGAAATTCTATGAGCAGTTAGATGTTTTTGTTTTGTTTTAGAGTTAGGTTAAATTTCTTATCTGGAAATTTTTCTGTATACAGAAATCACTGGAAATACATTTTTGAGTTTAGCTACAAAGTCTACCTTATTTTACCCAAAATAAAAGATGTTCATAGTAGCTCATTCATTATAATGAAAACTAAAAATAACCCAAATGTCCATCAACAGGAGGGTAAACAAGCTGCGGTACATCTATTCAATGGAATTACTACCAGGCATAGAAAGGGAAAGTACTATGATACATGTAACAACATGGCTGAATCTCAAAACAGGTATGCTGTGTGAAAGATGTGTTTCAATTACCTAAAATTCCAGAAAATATAAACTAATCTAAAGTGACAGAAACAGATCAGTGGTTGCCTGGAGAGGGAGGGAGGGAGGCACAGGAAAGAAGGTTTACAAAGGGACACAGACACTCTTGGGGAGTTATGAATATTTTCACCATCTTGACTGTGGTCATCATTTCGTAGGTAATGTTATGATCTGAACTGTGTCTCCCCCAAATTCATTACGCTGAAGTCCCACCCTCCAGGACTCTAGAAACAGAGTCCTTAAAGATGCAATTAGTGAGGCTGAGATGAGGTCACATTGGAATAGGGTGGATCCCTAATCTAGTATGGCTCCTGTCCTTATAAAAAGAATGCCAGGTAAAGAGATAGACACATACAGAGGGAAGACAATGTAAAGATGCAGAGAATGCTACCTATGAGCCAAGGGATGAGAAAGATGGCCAGTAAACCACCAGAAGCTAGAAAAGTATGCAACAGATTTCCCCGCACGAGCCAGAAGAAACCAACACTGCTGATACCTTGATCTTGCACCTCTACTCTCCAGAACCGTGACACAATACATTTCTATTGATATAAGTCAATCTGTTTGTGGTACTTTGTCATGGCAGCCCTAGGAACTAACATTTGTACACTTTAGTATGTACAGCTAACATACTAAATAGAAACTAACATTTGTACACTTTAGTATGTACAGCTTATTTGACACCAGTTAGACCCTAAAAAAGCTGGGGTTTTTTAATTTGCAAAATAAAAAAAACTAAAAAATAAAAATAAAAGAGACTCTGAGTTGGGAAAACAATAAGGCCCAGTGGAGAGAGGCGTCCCATACATGGAAAATAAGGAGATTAGGTGAATAGATAAGGCTGAGGTCTCTACTCCACCCCTGAATGCAGGCAGCTGGGCCTGTACCCTCAGGCAGGAGACTGGAGGATATCTTTAGAATTCTCCAACTAGCCTAAAATAAAAGACCAACATTCCCACATTGAGGGTTCCCAACAAAACACCCGGCCACATCAATCTTCACAAAAACTTGGACGAGCCCCATCCATATGCTCAGAGCTGCCCATCAGCTTTTTAGTTCCCCACTCTTAAACCGAAGACCAAATAAGCATACATAAAAGAGTATCTGGAAGGAAGGAAATAAACTGCAGACAGAAGAAAACATCAGAAAACAAACCAACCAACATAAATTCTCCAAGATAAGTGAAAATATCTACATCCTTGAAATGGCTGCAGGAATAGAAACTCAATAAAAGTATGAAAAAGATAAAGTTGAGAAAACCTTCCAAAAGTAGAGCAAAAGAGATGGAAAAACAGGAGAGAAACAATAAGTAAGTTAGGGCGTAAGTGCCAGCGGTTTAACGTCCTCTCCTTCAGAACCAGCCGTGTTTCCCCAGATGCCTACAAACAACTCATCACCAGAGCAAGCACAATTCAGAGCATGTCTACCCACCCCACCCACCTCCGCACTAGCGGAGCACCTCTGGCACCGAGACCAAGCCTCCCCAAAGCTCCTTCATCCTTCATCAAGGTTCAAGGGTGAGTCTGCATGCTGGTGGCTTCCCGAACTGTGTCCCCAACTCCATCAAGAGGAGTCCAGAGAAGGCCTCAGCACTAGGACTAAATCCATGTTTTCCAGGCACCTCTGCCCTTCAACACACATGGGGCACCGTGACCATCTGCCTTGCGTAAACCAGGACTAACGTCATTATCCCCGTCATTCCTGTGTATGTCCATCTCAAAAAGGGTCCTCCTTCTTCTCCTGCAGTCTTCCCCAAAAGGCTCCGTACAACCCCTACCCTCCTGTCTTCGCCTCTTACCTTTCCCAAAGCCTGAAACTCCTCCCCGTGCCCTCTGGATGGCCATTCCGTTGTCAGCAAAGGCCCCTCACCCCCTTCTCTGGGCACTCTTCACCTTAGTGCTCCAGTCGAACCCTGCTTCCTCCCTCTGCAGTTCTCCAAACCACTGGCTGTTTTCTTCCCACGGCCCACCTACCACCAAGCCTAAAAATGGAACAGCTGTCCTCTTGCTTTCCCCGCTGTTGCCAAACTGTCCTCCCTCTATCCGCCCTAAAATTCCCAGTTCCTAATCTCATCTCTTCGAATTATGTAAACTAACCTTCCTCATTGCCATCATCCCACTCCTTCTCCGTCATTTTAGCTCCTGACTCACACTCCCTTGAGACTATTTCTATCTTAATTCTTGGCAATTTCAAAATACGTCTAAGTAGAGGATTTCTCCTACAACTGATGTCTCAGTTCCCAAAATACCTCCTCTCCAAGGATCTTGCCATCTATCCTTTCTTGCCCTCAGCCACTTACTCCCACAGTCATGTACTATATATGTCATCATTAGATACCTACAAACCCTACATAATTCTGATCCATGTTCTCTTCCTTCTTTTTTTCTTTTTTTTCTTTTTTTTATGCCTACAGCACCTGGTCTTCCTAGGTGGTCTCTCATCCAAGTACTAACCAGGCCTGACCCTGCTTAGCTTCCGA